AAAATAATAATTGTTTAGCTATGGCTCTGCTAGGTTGACAGCGAGCTAGCAGAGCCGTTGGTTTTCCCTGTTGAATGAAGTGTTAGAAATTTGCGAATGTGGTAATAAATTAGTAATAAATTAGTAACTTATCGATGATACAACTAAATTTAAAAAAACTTGTGATTTGAGTTTTGGTTTTGCTAGGTTGAGATCGAGATAGACGAATCGTCGTTTTTTTTTCCTTGAAATGATGAGTGAAAAATTCGTGATTATAGTTATGAGTTAGTAATAAAATAGTTATAAATTATGGTATATTTAAAATTTTCAAAATATTAAATTTTCAGCTATGGTTCTGCTAGGTTGACATAAAGCTAGCAGAGCCGTTGGTTTTTTCTGTTTAATGAAGAGTAATGAATTTGCGAATATAATAATAAATTAGTACTAAATTAGTAACAAATTATAGTACTATTGAAATGAAACCTCATGAAATTTTACGTGCGTCTAGACTCTAGAGAATGAACAGATTTTTAATATTAGCGAGAAAAATATGCAACTTTGTTATCCTTTGGATCAAGGGGCAATATGTATATACATTCGTAATCTTCGTAAAAGTTTTGAAGGATCTAGTTGAATTTTGAAAATATAACATTTGAAATTTTGGTGGAAAATAGAGCGCATTCACCATAATTATCATAGTTGCTAAAACTGATGGAATTTAGCAATCAATCTTATCATTCTTATCTGATTTAGGTACTATACCTATTTTTTGCTGTCATTATAGTTTCGACCAATGATGATACCAAAATATCCAAAACAGTAAAAACAAATTAATATTTGCAAGGCATATGAGATTTTAAAACTAGAAGCGAATGATGAAATGGAATGGAAATTGTGGATTGTGACGACAACATATTAGGCCACCCCGTTCACAGTATTGACAGAATGTGCTACGTATACCTACTGAATAAATGATGACGATAAAGCAACACAATCTGGCGAGCAGGCATCAAACAAAATCAAGCAACCGAGTGAGCCGAGTGACTGCAGTGCTGCCAACTCAGCCATTTTATAACTAGTTATAGCCTTTTTTATACTTATCTAGCCTGCTTAAAATTGCATCTAGCCATTTAGCCATTATTTCTACCTATTTTTTATTCTGACTTTCCATAAAATTATTTTCATATTTATTTATAATATTCCCATAGATACAATTCACTATTTTCACGATCTAATCTAAGTCAAATTCAGACCAGTTTAAATTTCTATGGATTTTGTACTCCATGCTTTGTGTCGATGTCACGTCATAGGTCAATACTTCTTGACTTGAGTCTGTCCATTCCAACTTAGAAGCCAGCATTGGAAACCATAGGGAAGTGTTGACTGTCGCTTTCCTTGGTTAATAGGTATTGAAGGCACCTGGCTGATATTATGAGGTTTGATTTGATGTAAGGATTAAATTTTTCTTCAAATAAAGATGATCATATCATCACAGTTTATTCATTTGTCGTATTTTTTATATGTTACAACAAATCCTGAGAATAAACACGAACTCAAAGTGTCATATATTTATTTCGTCAGTGTATAAATTCCTTTAGAGGCAGCGCCACCTACTGTCTTCTTATTTGCAGTGTAGTATAGACTAATGTTCAATGTCAGACTTGTAGTCCAAGGTCGGATTTCTTATTTTTGCTAGAAATATTGCAAAAAATTGCTAGATTTGCCAAAGAATGGCCAATAATATATTACGGCCACTATAGAAAGTATAGGCAAGAACACACGAGATACAGCCTCAGTAAGTAGTTCTTTACACACAGTAAGCACATCGCACAGTTTTCGTTCATTCCGCCAGTATATGTATGTCAGACAGTTTGACCAAACTTTTTTTATGTACTTTATTATGGCAGTAGGTAAAGTATAGTACGCAATGTGTGTTGTAAGAAGCATATTACGCACGAATGGAAAAGTTACACACGTAGCAGCTTCGCGGCATTGTGTACTATACTTTAACTACTACCAATATGTAATGTGAAACATTACGACACTGATTTTAGTATCCTAATGAGATACTTTATCGCATTAGTGCGGTGAAGTGAAAAAAATGTAATTTCAAATTTTATTTTTACTCAAAAACAGAAATTAGAACCAATTTATCATGAATATAGCAGGTACTTAAGTTTCGATTGCTGCATTCGCCTCAATTTCTATACCGGAATCTAAACTCTCCTGATCCGAATTCATGCCGATGAATTTTTTTTCGAATTGAATCGTCAACTTTGACGCGTTAAAGTTGACAGTTCGCCGAATGAGTGACAACCGTGAACACAATAGATTCACGACAACCATACGAACCCCTTGCAGTGCTTGCTTGTTACATATTCCCATAATGAATCGCCAGTTCAATGAATATTGAATATTTTTGATTAAATAATTACCTCTTTGGTAGTAAGTAAAATATTTACGATACTCGTATCGTAAATATCTATTTTCTACTGTCATATAGTACATCAAAAAAGTTTGGACTAACAGTTGATATATGTCATCCGCTGTTGACGAAAACTGTATGCGATGTGCTTACTGTGCGTTAAGGCTGTATCTCGTATGTTCTTGCCTACTTCCAATAGTGGCCGTAGGTAAGAAGTTTTTCGCCCGCGGCGCACTTTCATTCTTAGCCTTCTTTTTTATCGCTTGGAGCGCACGAAAAGAAATCCCTATATGTTCAAAGAACATCGTGCGTTCCTAGGGAGGATAGGGACAGAATGAATTCCAGAGCCTAGCCGTTTTGTTTTATGGATGAAGGAGTTTTGATAAAGTGCTGTTCGACATCTTTCGAAGGTTGACAACGAAGGGATGTGCTGACTTGGCTTGTCTAGTTCGTCTGACTGGTATTGCTAGTGAAGGAATGATAGCAGAGATTTCGGAAGAACATTTCCCGTGGAAGTATCGATACAAAAGTGAAAGGTCGCCGACCTTTCTACGGTGTTCCGATGATGTCAAAGAGTGAGTGAGTGTGGCGTCACCCACCAGGCGAATGGCTCTTCTCTGGATGGAATCTAAGAGCAGCAGCGTATATTTTGGTGCTGAACCCCATATGTTGGAACAGTATTCTAGAACAGGCCGTATCTGCGCTTTATAGATCATGGGAAGCTGTTGAGGTGTAAAGTAGCTTTTCGCACAATCATCTAGCCGTTTTTGGAATTGGCTGTTGGCAACACTGCGAGTGAGTGTGTTTCGGTAACAGCTACCGGCAGGTGCGTAGGTTAGGTTAGAAGGGCACTTAATAGGTACCTGAAACATCTGGAAGCCACATGCATGCACACAAGACTCTTCTTCGTCTGTTCTTTCCTCCTCGTTTTTGTCGGTGATAATCGTCGTTATTATCGTCTGGTGGCCGCGATTCATGAGGGAACACCATTCGGTTTCATTGAGAGAGGCAGATGAGTAGTCAATCAAGACGATTTCATTAGGTATTTTTACGATTTTTTATTATTTCTCAGATAAGTATACAGTGTCATTCATAAAGTCGGCATCATATGGAAACAACTTTTATTAATAATTTATTTTCAAATTCGACTTGGGCGTTAAGTTTTGCTTTAAAAACTATCAAAAATAGACGACCGATAAGTCTACGTGATTCAAGATTCAGAATTCTGATCACCCTGTCTCTTTTCCAATTGAATGTCGGTAGATAGTGAACCAAAAGTCAAGATAAACACATGAAAGCCGTTTTGACCGACAATGAATAGTAACGACACAAAAAAATTCTAAATTTGAAAAATATCGATTTTGAACACACATTCCCGCTAGACCCCAAGTGTGTGATGTATTTCAGGAAGATTCTCAAGATACAATGGAATACAGGGTATGTATGTTGCAAATTTTCAATATATAGGAGCGGCAACGCCGCAGCGCTGAAAATATTTTAGAACGATGTCCTAATCGAAAATGTAGTTGAGGTGTTTTCGTGATTTCCGGTTCTGTCGATCTACACAGCTGCTGTTTCGTTTTCAAATGGCCACCCTGTATGTACCTACAGGCCGACTGATAAAAACGCCTAAACCATAGAGCCACTATCAACTACCCGATTTCAGGAAACAGAAAAGCAAAAAATGAGAAGCTCCATTAGTTGGCGATAATATATAATCATTACTATCTCAAATTTCATATGTAACGTCTACAACTGAGTTTTTGTTCTCGAATAATGGCACCATACGTATACAGGATATCCCGAAATTACATACACAGATTTCAACCACAATTTTACAAAAAAAATATCTAATCTAACTAGTGATTTTTTTCTCAATGTATTTTACTGAATTCGGAAAATGCTTGAAAATCAAAATTCTGGGCACATTAAATAATTACTGGGGCTATAAATCTGAGCATTACAAAAAATAAGTTTATGGAAAACGACATTTATGTTCTTTATCTTTATCTTATATAGGCGCCCTTATGCTAAACCGAGTGCTAAACAATTATATGGTCGCTCGACTTGTAAACCCCATTCCACTCTTAACCCTCTGCTAAAAAAAACAATTCATTCTAGAGATGTGTTGTGACAGCATTTTTCCGGAACTGTGAGTCACTGTGACAGTTCCGAGAAAATCACGGCTCCAAATCACAGCTCTTTTTCGGAGTCGTTCTTTCAAACGTGTGCTCACACTGCTCACATGTTATTCACGCAAGAGTCAATGAATCCGCTTCATGTGATATGTCGCGCATATGGCACGAAGTCGCTTGCTAGCCATGCTTATTAAACGGTGCTTAGCGAAAATCAACCTAGTGGAACTACTTGTTTTGAATTATGAATAAAATAAACCCTTAAGGAATTTTTCAGTATCTGATGGTTTTCTTGGTTGATAACAACTATTTTCTTACAGTCGTACAATTTAATAATGGCAACGAAAAAAACATCAGTTTTGTGGAACTTTTTCACGCCGTCTTCGAGTGAAAAAGCAAAATGTAATTTGTGTGGATTAAATATTAGTTTCAAAACGTCTACTTCTAATTTGAAGAGACATATGGAGAGGAAACATCCACTGGTAGATGTTGGGGCGGTAGAAAAAAAACATACCAAAATAGCAGCGGCGGCGTCATCGGCTACGTCTGAAATGACTACTGGTAGTACCGATATACCGGAAGCACCTCCCATCAAGAAAAATAAAGTATCAGTTCAAACTGAATTGAACATGCCCAAGAAAATTGGAGTTGTCGCGAAGAATAAAATCGACAGACAGTTGATGAAATTATTCTTCAAAGACTATCAGCCTTTCGGTATTGTAGAGGATGAAGGATTTCGGGAGTTCGTGAATATTCTTAATCCCAATTATTCAATACCAACAAGGAAAACACTTACCCATACGCTTTTACCTGCCATGTTTGAAGAAACGTTGAATAATGTGAAGTCACTTCTCAAAGATGTTAGAAGTGTTACACTTACGACGGATCATTGGACTTCGATAAACACCGAAAGTTTCATTGCTGTCACAATACATTATATTGAAGAGAACAACTTCCAGTTAAAATCCGTTTTATTAGAATGTTCAGCTACTTCTCAAGCGCATACAAGTGTGAACATAGCGCGAGAATTGAATAATATTGTGGTCACCTGGGGAATTGAAAATAAAATAATGCTCGCTGTAACGGACAATGCAGCCAATATCCGAAAAGCAATCAGAGATGAGCTCAAATGGAAACATTTTGGCTGCTTCGCTCATACTATCAACCTTATTGCTGAAGATTGCATTGTTTTAGTGGATGATCTGGTAAAAAAAGTGAGAGATCTCGTTAGCCACTTCAAGAGAAGTACAAAATCAACAATAAAATTAAATGAGATACAGATACAAATGGGAAAAACCCCCAAAAAATTAATTCAAGATGTTCGTACGAGGTGGAATTCAACATTCTACATGATTGAAAGGTTCTTAGAACTGGAAGAACCAGTGAGGTCAACTATGGCACTCTTGGATAGTGATAAGTTGCCAGTAATAGTAGTTGAAGAGTGGAAGATGTTGGCTGATATTAAAAAAGTTTTGGAGCCGTTAGAGGCAGTTACGAATATCATGAGTGGTCAAAACTATGTGACATTATCTTCAGTAATAGTACTCACTAAGGGATTGGAGAGCATTTTGAAAGAAATGGAAACTCAAGATTTTGCCTTGGTCCAAACTATGGTGAATGCGATGTTACAAAGCATTAAAGATCGTTTGGGAGATTTGGAGAGTAGTAATACGTTACTAATCTCAACATTTTTGGACCCTAGATTTAAAAATGTTGCATTTTCTTCAGACATTGTAGCTGAGAGATCAAAAAAATTGGTTATTAACCTTGTTACCCAAAAAGTAACAGAATCCGGAGAAGTCATGAAACAGGCCCAAGAAAATATTCTGAAGCCATCAAATGAAAATAAAAATGCTCCTTCTGAAAACTACCCCTCAAAAAAGTCAATATGGAGTCATTTTGACAAAAAAATCGCTGGTCTTCAGCCTAGTGGTACCTCAATGTCTCGAGCTATTATTGAAGTGCAAAGATACCTAGAAGATGGCCTCTTGGAAAGAGATAAAGATCCATTAACATGGTGGAGGCAACATGCCTATAATTATCCGTTCTTGAGTAAAATTGTTATAGAGAAAATGGGATCGGTGGCGACTTCTGTACCGAGTGAAAGAATATTTTCAAAAATGGGACAAATATTAACTGAGCGCAGATCAAGATTAACTTCTGACAAAGTTAGCAAACTTGTGTTCATGAATGTCAACGTGTAATTCATTTTTTGTTTTGTGAATCACTAGTCAACTTGTTATTTTGATATAAGAAGTTATACCTATGTTTGAGAGAATTTTTAGTTTTGTTTTATACATGTTAATTGAGTTGTTATTTTAATTAAAGGTAGTACAAGTTATCTACTCATCATTCTGCCCTGTAGACACCCCTTATCTGATTCATAACTTCAAAGTTCAAACTCACTAGCACTAGAATCTGTGACTGTACGTGAGTTGTGACGGTCGTGACAGTAACACCTATTGTGGAACTGTGACTGTAGTGTGTCTAGTCGTTGATTGATATATTACGCTTACCCAGCGTAAGCGTAATATATCAGCAGTCATGTCGTTCTCAACTCCAGCCAGCAGTTCCGAAAAATCACAGTGGAATCTCGCTATCCGGAACGACTCACTCCCGTGACAGACGCGGAACAGCTCCGAAATCACAGGTCGTGAAATCACAACACATCCCTAATTCATTCCCAACCTTCTATTACCAGTCGACCATGCAACTGTCAATTGGCGCACCGTTATTCGGTAGGGCTTAACGGACAAGTCCAAAGGGCAGGTAGTTTGAAATAAAAAAGCAGCCATGCCAGGTCCAGATAACTACGTGCACAATTTGCACTTTTCAAAAAATTGGAAATTTTCACAACATAATCAGAACAAAGAATGAAACCTAAGAGGATTAGTTTGTTACTTTTATTATCGAATATATTTGAGCGATAAGAAATACTGCATATTCTTTCTATACAATGAAATCGCATGTTTTTAATTTTTCATGTCATTTCCCTGAAACATTTCCTGGTTATAAACGGTATAGAAAAGAAATATCGAGATATCGTGACAGCTTCAGTTGAAGCATAGATCAAATGGTTGAAGCTTGTAAGTTAGTCTCGATGTTACTATAGAATATAGAAGATAGCTGAGGAAAATTGAAAATAAAAATCGATCTGTCTCAGGAGATTCCTTAGAATTGACAGTTTGGCTGATAATGAATTTATTCAGTACTTTACGAAAGCGCACTGTATTTTTCTCGAATTCATTGCCTGTGGAAGTATTCCCAACAACATATTATAATCTCCAAAAGTTCAAAAAAAATTCCAATACCTATCTCCTGTCCCTATCCTCCCTAGGAACGCACGATGTTCTTTGAACATTATAGGGATTCCCTTTCGTGCGCTCCAAGCGATAAAAAAAATATATCAACAATTCAAATTATTCATTTAGTTCTGCTAGCTTCAACGATTATTTTGCAATAGCGAAACCCAAAATGAAAAGAATAAGAAACAGTACCATATAATAGCCCAACCCAAGCGTTTGCTCTCGGTGAGATCACAAGCACCGGAAGTATCAATGTTGCCGAGCGTTCAATGATTGTTTTGGGAGCGCACATTTTTTGAAAAATTTTCAAAACAATTTTTTCTTGAGATTTAAAGTGTCATTAATGTCGCATTAGAACACCCCATTTTATTCATCGCCCCAATTTCGGAAACAGCATGTATAGTGAAGTATACTGAAATTCATGCATTGGATGATGCGGAGATTGTTTTCCTTCATATAGGTGTTTTCATGAAGATGACGCTGTATTTTAGGATGTCAGATATTTTTATGATATTCGTTCTTGAACTGTTATGAGTCAGAATAAAAAGTGAAAATACTGTTTAAAATATTTGTTTGAATCGAGGTTTGAATCAATCTAAGAATTCTAATATTATAAATTTGTAGGATTCATACAGGCTGTATTTTCGGACACTTGTTGATAACAACATTTTTCCTTATTTTTAACTAAGTATGGAATTTCCACCCGAACTATACGAACGAAATTTTGGAACACCCTGTATCTTATTCCAACTTTGCCTGCCCCATGGAAATCTTCTGTCGACGCTGATGCGTGGCTTCCCTAACCTCCGATAAAATAACAAGGTATACTTAACACTCGCACACTAACTTGTTGATTGCTCTACAAAAAATTTGAATTTCAAATTCGTATCATAAATTTGCTTCGCGATTACAATTTACGGTACTGAGTAGAGAAAAATGCCCCGTGACCGGCCTATAGGGACAACACAAGGCCCCCAAGGGTGGTTATGTTATGGGTTATGGTGTGCTTTATGTCGATGCCCATCAGGCCATCAAGATAATAGACCAGGAGCTTGTGACAGATGACATTCTCCCATTTTACACTTTCATTAACTCCAAAATATGAAAAATAGAGGGGTTCCTGGCTGCCCACGTGTGAACTTCATAAGGAAAAGCGCTTTTTTATTGTGGAGAATTTTCGTGTTTTTCCGCGATGTTATACTGGCCTGTCGTTGTAATATACCGAAGTTCAAACAAATTGATGTCATGCAATCCGCAGCCGCCGAAAGGGCTCAAAAGGGTTACGAAAAACTGAAGAAGATTAAAGGGGACTTCCGTGTTTTCAAATTGCATGCATGCCGATGTAGAGAATTGAAGTTTTAGTAACAAAATTTTTTTAAAATTTATTAAAAAACCATCGCCAACATTCACAGAATATCTACTAAGCCAGAAACGAAGTTCAACTAGAATACTAGTGGGACTTCTCACAGGGCATTGTAGGCTCAACAAACACATGAGTACGATAGGTTTGACTGAAGAACCAGGTTCTGTCAAGAAGAGGAAGAAACAGCAGTACACATACTTTGACACTGTGAGGGCTTGTCAAGACTAAGGTTCCTCACGCTGGGTGAGGAAAAACCAGAAGCCCAGAGATACACACACAGGAGATCTGAAAGCTAGCCTATGGAGTCTCATAGAGAAGGCGGGGCTAGCCGAAGAACTCTAATCGATTTTGAGGGCAGACACAATAGATCTGAAAAGGTCGCAGTGTGGAGGCAGATAGCCCGAAGGCCCCATTCCAAATCTAATCTAATCTAACAAAAACACTTTGGAAAATTTGGCATGCGCCCCTAGTCTGACCAACGGTGGAAAATTTCGGGAAAACTCTGTGAAAATGTTTACAAAGGTTTTCCGTGATTCCAAACTGCATGCCGTTAGAAAGATACTTCATTTTGAATAATTAATTAATAGTATAGGTAATTTGGCACGCACAAAAATTGCAGCAACGGAAGTTCGCTTTAATTTCTTCAGTTTTTCGTAACCCTTTTGAGCACTTTCGGCCGCTGCGGATTACATGCCATCAATTATTCGATTTAATCTGTTTGAACTTCCGTATATTACAACGGTAGACAGTATAATGTCACGGAAAAACAAGAAAATTCTTCACAAACAGAAAAGCAGCGCTTTTCCTTATGGAGTGCTCACGTGGGGCGGCCATATATCCATCTATTTTTCATAATTTGGAGTTAATTATAAAGCCAAAAAGACATGCATTGTAAAATGGGAGAACGTCACATGTCACCAGTCCCTGGTCTATAAAAAATGAAGGCTTCAGATGGACTATATACGGACCAGATCCGGTGGGTGATAAAAAAAATAGGAAGTCGACCGGTAACGGCTGATTAAAATATTGTGTAGACAACCGGGGAAAAAAGTAAACGATGGATTTTAATCAGGGTGTACTTTTATGTTATGTGCATATTGGGGATAGTAATACGTTGGCTAAATTCAAAGTTTATATAAACATTATTATGTGTTTGTTGTACTTGCTTCGTTTTCGAGATATTGGGTGAGGAAGAAGTTCATATAAATTGAATTTTTTTTTATGATCACTCTCATGCATAAGCTTTCATTAGAGACAAATTCTTGGAATTTGAAAAGTCGTTTATTTTTTTTGCATAATGAAATCATTCAGTTTATTTGTTGTTTTTATACCAATCATTTAGATATATATAAAATTACTACAAATAAAAAATATTTATCTCTAAACATGTTTCTTGGCTTCGTTTCACTAGTTAATCTAGTTATTAATAAAAAAAAATGAGATACCCCTTCATAATATACTCTAAAAATTCGGGAATACGTATACAGGGTGATTCACGGTGGATGGCACATTAGACGTTCCTGGAGAACGCAACTCAGGATTATTCTTAAAAGTTGGTGCCTTGGATAATTAGTTGTGTTCTATCGACCTAAAATATTCTCAGCGTTGCAACGTTGCCGATTATATTGAAAAGTAGCAACAACTTTGATTTTTTCAATGGAACACCCTGTATATCATTCCATTTTCAGATTCTCTCTGAAGAGCTGATTCCATCGATCTATCACACTTGGGGTCTAGCGGGAATGATAACAAAGATATAGGGTGTGAAAAATCGAAATTTTTCAATTCCAAGAATTTTTTGTAGTGAATACAGGGTGTTCCGTTGAAAAAATCAAAGTTGTTGCTGCTTTTAGGTCGATAGAACAAAACTAATTATCCAAGGCACCAACTTTTCAGAATAATCGTTCTCGTTCTCCAGAAACGTCTAATATAGTAGGTGTCCTATCAGTGACACTGGAATTTGCATCATCTGAATGACACTATTATTAATTTATTCTTTTTGGGATTTTCTCGCGTCTTTGTTTCGCTTGAAGCGCACGAAAGAGAATTCCTATAATGTTCGTGTAGAAGTGTAGGTAGAACATCTTGCGTATCTAGGAATGATAAGGAGAGCAGGTAGGTATTGGTTTTTTTTTAACTTTTGGAGGTTATACAGGGTGTCCCTAGACCAGTGGGACAGTGGAATTCCGACTGAAACTGAGAATTCTACACCACCCTGTATTTGTTTCAATTAAATACGAGTAAATAGTAAATAAAAAGTTGAGATATGGATATGTAAGCCGTTTTGACCAATAATGAATAGTTTTGACACAAAAAATTCCCAAAAATGAAAAATTTCGATTTTCCACACCCTATATCTCGGAAATCATTCCCGCTAGACCCCAAGTGTGCTAGGTCGTTGAATTCAGCTCTTCAAGGAGAATATGAAAATGCAATAAAATACAGGGTGTTCCATTTGGAAAAATTGATGTTCGATTTTGTGAGCCTTTCTTGCGCTCCTCGTATAAAATATAGTCATTCCTGAAGTTAGCACTCA